CTACTACGTACGTACGTAACGTACGTACGTACGTACGTACGTACGTACGTAGTATATATATATACTAATAGTAGAGAGAGAGAGAGACGACGACGTAACGTAGGAGAGAGAGAGAGAGAGAGAGAGAGGTTTCATATGATTTACAGAGTTTGATTGTTTACATTTAATTGTAAGGTTCCAGTGTGCATATTCGATTGAGCACATGGAAAGTTCGATCGAGCATATGGAAAATATTTCACTTTGGTAGCAAGTTTCCAATAGAAGTGATGCCTGGCAATTGAATTTGCGAGTGGACCAAATGATTACCAAAACTAACAGTGATGCTGAAATACTGTGTGGCTTCAACAATGTGCTTTGAGAGTGCCAATGACCCTGTCACAAAGCTGAGCACTGAACCAGCCCCATTGGCCTGCACAAGGTACACAGTGAGATGCATTTCATTTTCTTGAAAAATCAGATACTTCATTAATCCAGTCAACATAAAAATGCAAACTAGTAGTTGTTCGATTACAAGTACCTGAGAGTAGTGTAAAGAATGGCCAGGATGATCAGGAAGACCGGCATAGAAGACTTTCTTTACACGAGGATGAGATGAAAGAAATTCTGCAACCTTTTGCGCATTCTCCTGCCAAAGACCAATGAAATAAAATGAAGCAAATTATACTTGGACCCCAAAGATTCTAATACTAGAAAAAGAAGTTAAATGACCAGAAACTACGACAGTGTGAATCTGAGCAGTTCCCACACCCCAATTAATGGCCCTCGTTGGTAGAATTTGCATCGGAAATGCAAAGAAGGAACAAACTACTTTAATTAAAAATAACATTTGTTTGACTCTGAGACTGAGACATGCTCGAAAGGTTTAGTTTCCAAGAGGGTGTTTTTGGCCCAAGAAATGGCCATCATACAATCACAAATTAGCAAGTAAATAATGGATTTAAGTATGCCAACTGTTCCCTGAGAAGTGAAAATCAGGCCCTTGTTGATAGAATTGCATTGGAAGTGCAAAGATGGAACACATGACTTTAATTAAAAATAACATTTGTTCGACTCTGAGACTGTGAGGCATGCACCGAAGGTTTTCATTCCCAAGAGTGCAGTTTTGGTCCAAGATATGGTCATCAACAATCATGAATAAGCTGTAAATAATGAATATAGATATGAGTATGCCAACTGTTCCCTGAGAAGTGAAAATCAAAGCCATGCAAGATGGCAATAAACTCATGAATATGGTGGCAAGTAATGGAAACAATGGAAAAACTCAAAAGTAGGTTATGAGGGATAAGGAAGTCACAGGAAACAAAAGAAATACGAAAAAATAAAAACGCACATGACAAACACAAAAGGAAATGACATGAGATTGTATGTGTAGCAACCATAGCTGTTGGGAGTGGGTGTGGATGCAGGTGAGGGTGCGGGAGCCTGGGATCGACCCTTGGCAGAAGCTCCCTACCCATGGAGCGCTTGGGACCACTGCTCAGGGAGCAACCTGGGAGTGTATCTCTTATATGTGCATATGTGCACAACATGTATATGGAGGCAGGGGAGGGGGAACACCCCATATTATAAATTTGAATGTGTGTGTGTAAGTGAGATATGTGTTATCTTCAATTATTACTATACTATCGCAATTATGTGTGTGCATATACTATATACAATTGCAATTATGCGTGTGCATATACTTACACCCCATATTATATATTAGTATATGTGGATGCATATACTTGCAAATATGTTCTCTCAATTTTTGCAGAAGGGACCATTTGAAAACTAAAAGAACGAACAATCAATCTTTTAGCATTATCAATATGCTCGACAAAAAAATCCTAATAAGAACGTTATTGCTAGAAAATCCCATAAAAATTATAAAATCCAATAAAAGAGTACGCTTAGAGTCCATAGATATAAGAGTACAATTACAAAAAATGTAATGTACAAAAATCTTAGTAATTAAAAATCAAGGAAAAGATTGTTTGAAGATTTGAAGTGAGATACAATAAATGTATGAAATTATATTAAATTGATTATTTAAGAAATGAAAGACATAAAGGGCATTACGAAATTCAAGAAATGATTTTCTACTTTAAACAAAATTTTCTAGATGAAAATTAAGAGAATAAGTAAATTAATTAAAACTGTCATTATTTCCTTGCACTTTCAAATAATATAAAAAAAATCGTCAATTAAGTACACTTTTGAAAGGCAGATAAAACATTTTTGTGTAAAAAAATATATAATGTATGCAAATCTTAATAATTAAAAATCAAAGAAAAGATTTTAGGCAGATTTGAAGTGAGATTCAATAAATTCATGAAGTGACATTAAATTGATTATTTAATAAATGAAAGACAAAGGAATTACGAAATCCTAGAAAAGATTTTCTACTTAAAGCAAAAATCGTTATATGGAAATTAAGAGAACAAAAAAATCAATGAAAAATGTCATTATTTCCTTACACTTTCAAATAGTGTAATTTAATAGACACTTTTAAAAGGTAGAAAAGACATTCTGTATAAAAAAATATATACAAAAACATTAATAATTAACAATCAAGGAGAAGATTTTTTTTTTGAGGAAAGGTGACTAGAATTGTATTACTGGGTAATAAAATGTACACAAAATGGGACCCTCTTACAGGGCACCTTATACATCCCCGAAGGGTTAAAACAATGATACAAAAGCAAAATAAAAAATCTAAGGAGAAAAGAAGGAGATCTACTAAGATCTATGCCCCCACCCCCTTCCCGGGGAGTTAGAGTGAGCTCCCTCTCTAGTAAGATGGTCCGCCTCAGAGTTGGCCTCCCAAAAAATATGGCGCTAGGAGATTGAGAAGCCTTGTGACGAGTGGGGTATCTCATCAAAGATATCATCTACCATGGGCAAGGGGAGAGACCGGATGCCCAGGCAATGACATTCTTAGAGTCCCCTTCCAGCACCAGTTTGTTACCCCAGGAGGTGAGAAAAATGCTGGCTTCAGCTAGAGTTGAATCCACATGGCCAATGGGGCGGGAAAAATCTTGCAATGTCTATCTATCGGATGAATGAAAAAGCCCGCCTACTCTGAAGGTACAAGGGTTCCCAAGAGAGAATCTGTTCAAATTGAGTTTGATGGAGCCTAAATCGGGTGGCCTCCCTTGAGCGGATCCTGAGATTGTTGGCTTTGCCCCAAGGATTAAGATGTGCCAATTCTTATAAATATCAGAGAAGGGAATGCCTTTGAACAAACTATGGTTCATGGCTCAAAAAGTCACTAAGTTCCCAATTTTGTCGGCCAATGGCCCAACCAAGGATATCTCTACTCTAAACTTATGCGGCTCCTTTCAATCCACAGAACCCACATAGTAGTTGAGATAGATGCTTTCCAAAGTTCTATACCTGCCTTGGGCCAAGGAGTATGGAGGAAAGCCTGATACAAATGTGGGATGGAGCTTGGAGTGACCCATGTCCACTGAAATAGACCTAACAGGTAAGACCATAAGTGTCCGGTGAATTTGCAGTGGAGAAATAAATGTGCATTGGATTCTTCAGTTTCCATGCACAAAATGCATCTATTAGGGCATTGCAGTCCTCTTCTTTGAAGAAGATCTACCGTCAACACCCTCTGATGGAGTGCTATCCAGCAGAAAACCTGAATGCCAGTGGACAAAAAGAAATTCCAAGCTTTTGGAAACCAAGATAGATTGGGACATGCAATGGTGGGAGTGAGGGTACAAAAGAAAGAAGAGACTGAAAAACTCCCCGATGGTGATGGTTCCCAAATAATCTTATCATCGTCAGAAAGAGGTATGAACTGAATGGAGGAGATCTCCCAAAGCCCCAAATTCATCAAGCTTATAGTCATTGAGGGGTCTTCTAAAGTTTGGCGACCAGGATCTTAGATAACCTGAGAGCACAAAATTATCTGCTATTGTAGACTGAGCTTCACACGCAATCTGAAAGAGGTTGGGGAACTGATCCCTCAAATGTCTAATGCCGACCCAAATGTCATGCCCAAACAACACCAAGGTCCCCTCCCTAGGGCGCAAAAGTATATTGCGAAAGAAGTTTTCGTGGCACCTCAGGATCGACTTCCAAAAGCCCGACGTCTGACCACTAGTCCTACAAACAGGAATCCGTTGATTGCTACCATGGCAATACTTGTACTTGATGACCTCTCTCAAAACGTTGCTTGGTTGTGTCACATACCTCCACCACCCCTTGCTCAGAAGGGCATTATTGTGAAGTCGAAGATTTCGAATACCCAGGGCCCCTGAGACTTGGGCAAACATAGTTTAGGCCAGTCTATGAGATGGAATTTGTGCCCCTTCTCCACAAACCAAAAGAATTCCCTCACCATTCGCTCCAATCTACCTGCCATAGAGGCGGGGATATGAAATAACAACATCTAGAACACTGGCGTCTAGGCTAAAGTGGCTTTGATAAGCGTGAGTCTACCCACCTTGAAAAGGAACCTGCCTTTCCAACCTGCGAATCTCCGATCAAATTTGTCTATAATATGGCTGCATTGAGAGAGTCGAGGTAACCCAGTCAAAGGGGAAAGCCTAGGTATGAAGAGGGCAAAGTCTTGATGGAGCAGCCCCACCAGCTGACGAAGAACTGGATTAAGGAAGGTTCAATACACACTCCCATCATTTTGGATTTGGAAAGGTTTATCTTACACCCGGCGGCCATCTCAAAGCACTTTAAAAAGAGCAATAAAGTGTCGACATGTAGATTCAAGGAGTCACAAAAGACCAGAGTGTCGTCTATGTATTGAAGGTGGGAGATGCAAGGGCCAAGATTACTAGAGCTAAAACCCCTCAAGGGTCTTGCTTGGTAGAGACGTGAAAGAGAGGTGCTAAAGACCTCTACCACAATGGCGAACAAAAATGGTGACAGAGGGTCTTTAGGAGTTCCTTGAGGAGAACCGAGAAAACTGAGCTAGAGATGCACCCTCTAATCCAACTTCTCCACTTAGGTTGAAAAGCCATTCTTCGGAGGGTTTCATCGAGTATCTCCCAATCCACATGGTCGTAGGCTTTCTCTTGATCTAGTTTGATACATAGTCCAAGGGAGTTAGAAAAGGATCTGGAATGGATGCACTCATGGGCTATCGATGCCCCATTTAGAATTTGCCGCCCTTTGACAAAAGCTCCTTGGGAGGGAGAAATGATTGATTCAAGAACAACCTTAAGTCTTGAGGCCAGGACCTTAGCTAGAAGCTTGTAAGCACTGTTGACCAGACTTATGGGCCTAAAGTCGTTTAATTCTTTGGCCCCTTCGATTTTAGGGATGAAAGCTAAGAAGGTGGCATTCATGGCTTTGTTTATAACCTCTACAAAGTGGAATTCTGAGAAGAACTCAATGATGTCAGGGCAAATGACTTCCCAGAAAGTTTTGAAGAAGACTATCGAGTAATCATCCAAGCCGGGAGCTCGATCGGGACTCAAGTCATTGAGAGCCAAGAGAATTTCAGCCTCCAAAAAAGGCCGTTCTAGCCATTCGGCCTTGTCTGGTACACATGAAAACAATGTCGTCCATAACAGGTCTCGAGCTGGGGCAAGAGGAAAGAGGTTGGAAATATAGGTTGTTCAATCAACTGAGGGTGGTCTAAGATCGAGTTCTCAACCTTGAGTTGGGTGATTG